TCTCTCTCTCTCTCTCTCTCTCTCTCTCTCTCTCTCTCTCTCTCTCTCTCTCTCTCATCTATCTACCTACCTACTTGTGTACGCATGTATGTATGTAGCCCAGACTGACCTTGAATTCGCCAGCCCCTACCTTACATTCAGGCATAGGCCATGAAGATCTTGTTTTTTCAATCATTGTTTTTGTAATTTCTCTTATATATACAGGTGGTTTTTGCCTGCGTGTGTGTCTGCACCACAATGTATAGCAGATGCCCATGGAGGCCAGATGAAGACATTGGATCTCTCTGGAACTGGATTTGCAGATGACTGTGAGCCACCATGTGTGTTAGGAATCAAACCCAGGTCTCCTGGAAAAGCATTCAGTGCCTTTGAACACTGAGCCATCTCTCTACCAGCCCCCACCCCAATTTAAATTAAACAGTAGGAATTATTTACTAAATGGGAAGTTATGTTATGAATAACAGCAATGACTAGATTTATGAGGAATTTAGTTCAGTTAGTAAAAAGTGCTTAGAGTGAGCCAACTAACCAGCAACTTCCATGATTCTCTGGTTGTAGGTAATGCTGTGTGGGACAGCAAGATATCCTGTCTTCAGATTCCTACCTTGAACATCTGCCCTGACTCCCTCAATGACAGACTTGACCTGGAAGTAACCTCCTGTCTCCACACCCCAAGTGCCAGGATTGCTGGTGTATACTACCATGCCTGGCTTATGTAAACCTTGGATGATAAGCGCCTTAGAAATTTGTCAGTTATTCTTGAGGAAGCAAGAAATGCACTAGGGATAAAGAATGTCACACCTAAAACAAACGTTTAAAGAGTCCCAGGGAGAAATGACTGGCTACCTCATGGCTACTCAGAACCATATGTAACTCTAGTTCCAAGGGATCTGATGCCTCTTCTGACCTCCATAGGCCTGAGGAATGCGTGTGGGGCACATGCATACATGCAGGCAAAACACTTACACACATGAAATGAAATAAACATTTTAAAAAAAAGTTACGCTCTTCAGAGAACAGTACTACCTCCAAGGACTCACTCCATTGACAGTTAATGTTGCAGTGTGGAAAAATGCTTTTATTTGCCTGGGCTGTACTTTCCAACAGGCTCATCCCAAGGCTTTAAGGCAATGGTTCTCAACCATCCTATCACTGCAATCCTTTAATATGGTTTCTCATGTTGTGGTGACCCCAAACATAAAACTATTTTCATTGCTACTAAATAACTGTCATTTTGCTATTGTTATGAATCACAGTGTAAATATCTGATATGCAGGATATCTGATATGTGACCTCCACAGGTTGAGAATCACTGCTTTAAGGCATACTATTAATTCTAAACCAAGGGAAATAATGAGATGGCGTCAGAGGCCTTTCTCCAAACATCCTTTCAGGGTGCCATTAACTGCTGTCCCCTGCATCTCCCACCACTCAGCTTCCTGGTGACTTGGTGTGATCAGATCCGCCTTGCACGCTCTGTGAGCTCTGGTTGATCTAAGCTCATCATGGTTTTCCTAGGTGCTGATCAGTTCAGTAACCAAGTCTGAGCCCATCATGTGTGCGTGGTCCAGAAAGTAGGGCAGGAGGCAATCCAAACAGTACAGAGCTTAGGCCATTCACTCTGCCCTCAGCACAAAAGAGAAAGCATGCGTGGGCTGGGGGTGGGGGGAGATGTCAAAGTAGATTTTTCTACAGAAAGCATCTTGAGACTGTGAGAAAGCCGGCTTGAGGTTGAAACCAAGAGAGAGAAGCTGAGCCTCCAGAAATGCAGAGACAGAACATGAGTCCTGACCCATCTCCTAGACTTTTCTTCCACTATATGAGCAATAAATCCCCAGGTTGTTCCGATGGTCAGTAGGCTAATCTTGTTTTACTTTTCAAAGACATATTGAAGTGTCCACACCTCCTCCTCCTTTACCCTGGTTCCTGAAATTCCTACTCTACATTCCAGATCTTGTGTCGGACACCACATAGCAACCAAGTCTTAGGCAGAAGTAACAGACTGGAGATCACCCAATTATAGACAGAAGCAACAGATTTAAGGCTGGGTGGTTTACCCAATGAATGCTTCCCTAAGAGAACACTGGGGAAACTGGGAAGTACAGCCAAACTCATCTTATTCCGTATCTATTTCTTTTCTGCCCTTGTGGTTGTTCTTTGCTTCTGTTACACATCTTCCGTAGCTACCTGTTCAAATCCCACCCATTTAGAACCACTTACACACAAGAGCTTGCTTCCTCTAATGGCGTCCCTGACACCCTCAACTGGAAGAAAACTAACCCCTTCCAGAGGATGGACTGCTCTCCCACACACAACTAGACTGAGAACTTTTTGTCTACAGAATAGCTGCAGACAAAGACTGTCTTCTTTGAATTATTTTAAGCTCTAACACAATGTGTCCATAAAAACCACATGTACCAAAAAAAAAAAAAAAAGGTTTGTCTTTTGGAATTGCAAGCCAAAGAGTTGCTTCTCTTGGAGTGGTTTCTGCATCACAACAATCAGCATCACCTGAGAATATGGACAACACAAGAATTTGTGGGACCTTCAGAACCAGAGGTTCTTCAGTGAAGTCCAACAGCAGGTATTTAACACGTTGTCTGGATTCTAGTGTGCTTGGAATTGGAAGAACAAGTAGACCCAAGAACACTTTAAGCTATGGGTTGAGGAGTAGATGACCCTGGTCATCTAGGAGCAGGTTGAAGATCAAGTGAAGATCAAGGAGAGTCCTGTGATGAAACCATAGCAACCATGGAGGGTCTGGCTCTGGGGTGGTAAATGCATGGTGCTCAGACTGAGCTATCCAGAGCTGAGGGTCCTGTTAGTTTGGCATCCAGGCTTTGACACAAAGCCCAGAGTGTCCTGGTTAGGTATGCATCAAAAGAAACTCCAATAAGGGTTTCTTATTCTGTGTGTGTGTGTGTGTGTGTGTGTGTGTGTGTGCGTGTGTGTGTGTGTGTGCGCACGCGTGCATGTGAGTGTGTGTGTGTACATGTGTGCTGGGGTACTTGTGGGGGTTGCATGCGAATATGTGTGCAGGTCTTAAGACACAGTAGTCGTTCCTCACATGCTGTCCACCTTGGTTTTGATTTCTTGTTGGCGCCATGTTTTTACTTTTACATATTTGTGTGCGGTGGTGGTGGGCATGTGTGTGCTATGACATGGATGTGGACGTCAGCCACTCGTGGCAATCAGTTCTCGCACTCGACGATGCGGGTCCCAGGGTCTGAACTTGGGTTGCCTACCCGGTACCTCTACCCAGTGAACCTTCTTAGTGACCCTAAATTTTTTTTGTTTTTTGTTTTGTTTTGTTTTCGAGACACTAACTTTCATCAGCCTATAGCTCACCTAGCAGGTTGACTGGCTGCTGAACCCCAAGATCTGCCTGTCTCTACCCTTATCAAGATGACAAGCACTCACCATAATGCCTGTGTTTTTTGTTTGTCTTGGATTTTTTTTTTAATTGTGAATTCTGAGAATTGGGCTCACTTCCTTATGCTTGGAAGCAAGCACCTTACCGACTATTAATGACTAAACTATTTCCCCAACCCTAACCATTCTCTGGTGTTCTTTTCTTTCTTTACCGCCGGTCTTAGACGGCACGATTGCTCCCGCCCACATTTCTTACATAATTGCACATTTCTAGTTTTCCTTTGGGGCAGATTTAAGCTGAGAACCACAGGACTGTTTGTGACCTTCCAGTGACTCAGGCAAAGAATTCAAGATATTCTTATCTGTCTGGGGAAAAACCCTGAGATGGTTCAAAAAAGGAAGGGACAATACAGAGGTCCCATGAGCCCTAGGCAAGACTCTTGTCTCTCTACTCCCGGGCCTCATTAGCTACTCCGAGTTCATAGCGCTGGTCTACAGTGTGCCTCCTTAGACTAGAAACCACCCTACTTCCATGATGGCCTCTTCAGGTGTGGGGTCTGTTCTACTCCACCAACTACATGTCTCCTTAGAGAATTCCTATCTCTACTTCCATGCTCTACTTGATTTGTTTAATCAATGTGAAGACAAACTATAATTTTTGATGAAAGCTAGGCTCCTGCCTGGCTTTCCATAGTTTCCACACTAACCACAGATATTGGCTTGTACATGAAGATTTACCCTACCTTCTATTCCTGTGATTATCCTAACACTTGGACTTTAACAGGGTACTTATAGATAATTTTTTAAAAAAATATTCTGAAATGATGCTGATAAATCTTTACTTATCCTGTAAGATAATAGACACATCATCTGACAACTTATACTGGAGAAGTTGTGGGAGAAAGGGAACACTCCTGCATTGCTGGTGGGAGTGCAAGCTGGTACAGCCCCATTGAATGTCAGTATGGGGATTACTCAGAAAATTAGGAAACAACCTTCCTCAAGACCCAGCAATATCACTTTTTGGTATAGACCCAAAGGATGCTCAATCGTAACACAAGGGTATGCGCTCAACTATGTTCATAGCAGCTTTGTTTGTCATAGTCAGAACCTGGAAACCACCTCCATCGAAGAATGGACACAGAAAATGTGGTACATTTACACAATGGAGTACTACACAGCAGAAAAAAAAAGACATCTTGAAATTTGCAGGCAAATGGATGAATCTAGAAAACATCATTTTGAGTGAGGTAACCCAGACCCAGAAAGACAAATATCAAATGTACTCACTCATAAGTGGTTTTTAGACATAAAGAAAAAAAAAACAGCCTACAAATCACAATCCCAGACAACTTAGACAACAATGAGGACCCTAAGATAGACAAACATGATCTAATCTACATGGGAAGTAGAAAAAGACAAGATCTCCTGAGTAAACTGGGAGCATGGGAACCTTGGGAGAGGGTATTTTCTCTTATTAATCATCAATACATTCTAAGGTAGAATCCTTTTCAAAATTGTTGTTTTGACATATTGTTTTCAAGTACAGAATTTTCCTCAAAGTATCTAATTTTTTCATTGTGCCACTGTCAGTAAGAAGTGTTTTTCCTATTACTTTATATAGTTACTGTGATCAAATCTTGAAGTACTGCGGGAGAGACTTTTAAATGGCAAAAATCCTACTTTTTAATGAAGGCAGCCTACTTTTGTTGAGAAACTATGGTGCCATAGATACTGCGGGTGTTTTGTTCACCCCATCCTCTATCCGTCCTGTTAAAATAGATGCTATCTTCATTTTACAGGTAAGAAAACCGGGATGGAGTTAGAGGCAGATTCCAAATTGAGCTTTGGATCCTGTCCTTTCTTCTTGAAGACTTCCTCAACGCTGTACAGATCAGGGAACTCCCAGGCACATTCTCCCTGCATATGCTAACATCTATACATAAGTGGGCACAGGGCTGTTCAAAACCTGTTACAAATACAAACTCCACTCTACTAAAAATGCCCCCAAATTCTGATCCCGTGTTTGATAAACACTTGAGAAGGACAATATACTTTGAGATTTAAAATGCATTTAGATCCTGATTTCCAGTATCTGCAGTTGCTTATTGGCCATCGGTATGTTTTAATATAAGATGTGTTGGATCTTATATTAAGATCTTATATACAGAAGGTTGCTCAGATCCTTGTTTTAGTGCCGAACCCTAGAGCACGCAGTTCTCGCTCGTTCTCCTTAGCTGGATGCTGGTCTAATCAGACTACGTGTCTCTAGAGCACTGTTCCGGCTTGACTGAAGGAAGGCTACCTTTGCACAAGGAGGAAGCTGTGGAAAGGAGATAATCTGAGCAGAAGCAGGTGATTGCTTAGATCTATTTTTAAATGGTTGTCAGACGCCTGTAACTGACACCCTTAATTGGAAGTTCTGAAGTTTAAATGTATTTATTAAAATTTACTAAAATGTAACACGATGATGAATCTTTTTTTTTTAATTTATTTCCCTTTGGGGCTGACTTTTTAATCTCGAGGTTTCTTTAATCTGTTTTAGCGACAGTGATGTCTATGTAAGTCATTTTTAAATATCCACCGACTTTCCAGCAGCTTGAGCTATTATTGCACAAGAAAGCTACCCACCTAGAAAGCTAACATTTTCTAATCATTCAGAAAATTTCAAGCAAAAGGAATAATATTTGAACAAAATATTCAAATGCCTGGGGCCAGTATCAAGAAAATATTTGCCTTGATTCCTCAAGTTTACAGTGGATATGATCTTCATTTACAAATCGGTCCTTTGGGCCATTTTTTATGTTTGTTTCTAACTGTTAAGACAGAGGTAGTGTGAAAGGAACGGTTTTAATCACTGGCAAGCCAGAATAAAAAAAAAAATCTTAAATGTTCCCAAGTATCATAGAGGTCAGAGGCGACGTGACACAAGACCTTGAGCATTTGGCCACTTTAAACCCTGATACACCGCAATATCCCCTCCAGCCTCGGTCTGTCTCAGGAGACAGCCTGCCTTTGTTCTCTGTTATAGAAAACGTCAACGGTGATATATTTAAAGGACAGCCAATCCTTGTTAAAAACCAAAAGTCTCCATACTTACTTTTCAATATTGTTTATCCAAGAGATGTTATTGGAGGGCTGGCTTGTTGTCAGGGTCCCCTGGCTGTATGTGAAGCATTGATTGGACGTCTTTATGTCCTTGTCCCCTGACAGGGACTCAGATTCAGGGTCTCATCCACAAACAGATCAAAGCGCAGTTGGGTCTGTTTCAGAAAAACTCATGTCTTCCTAGGAGGGAAAAGTCCGTGTCCAAGCAAGTTCTGGAAGGAGAGCATGTTTTGCCTGCCCTTGAATGAACTAGGTCACAGCTGAAGCTGGAGAATATTTTTTTTTTTTGCATCACTGTGATGAAACTTGAGGGCTGTTTTCTGCAGTAGGTGCGACACTTGTTGACACTGCTTGCCTGAGAGGCCCTGGCAAAGGGACTTGATGAAACACAGCCCCAGGGAGTTGAGATCCAGACGAGCCTTCCCTGCCTGCTGCTGGAGAAGGACAGCTCTCCGCACAGTCTGTTCAGGACCTTGATTTAATTGCTCTCCTCTGAGGACAGCAATCACATTGAAGGAATTAGGCATTTGGAAGTCATGATACGGAAACCCCCAGGGAGGGTGGGTGGGAGGGAGATGAAAATAAGATCTCATGTGTTGTTCCTTTAGAAATGGCACTGAGTCTCCCTCTGAAATTCTCTGAGCAGAAGACACCAAAGGCAGGAGTACCCCCCCTCAGGAATTTGAGGCCATTCTCAGTAATACAATTAGTTTAATGCCAGCCTAGGCTATATGAGACCTTGTCTTAAAAACAGGCATGGTAGCAACACACCTTTAATCCCAGCAGTTAGGAGGTAGAGATTAGCAGATCTCTGTGAGTTTGGGGCCAGCGTGGTCTATATAATGAGTTTTGGGCCAGTCAGGGCTACATAGAGACCCTATCTCTAAATTAATTAATGAATGAACAAATGAATGAAAAAGATCATGAGAAACCATAGAAAGTGCCCCCAGGCCCTACTCCTGCAGTTTGTCAGCAATTATTCCTGTTTCAAAGCAGTTTTGAAATGGGTGTTTCTTTGAATTTTGTTTAGACCCAAGAAAGGACATGGAAAATCCAGAGACATCCTTTTTTAAATCTTCTTGCCTCACTACAAAAATATTTTAATGCTTGATACCTGGAAACTGACTAGTTAGAAGGAAACCTCTTGTGAGACAGACGTGGCTAAAATTAGCACCTCTAAGTGGGTGACTTTGAAAGGGACATGACCGAAACCTCCCTCTGTGGTGAGCACTGTGCTCCTCAAAAGCAACGCGACTGTGCAAGTTACAGTGTGTGCCTCCCTGGTATTGACAGAAGAGGTTCACAAGAAAAAAAGCCACACTCTGAAGTTATTAAATGTCAAGCTTGCACAGCTGGAGGGTTCAGTTCTTCAGTTTTATCTACATAGGAGAAGAAAGATATTGAAAGTCGAAAGGCCCTGAAGTAACACCGCTCTCTTGCAAACACCCGTGGCACGGGACTGGACAGAGAGAACCAAATCCCTGGGTCTTCTCAGCCTAAGGTCTGTTCCAGAGAAAGAGAAAAAACTTAATAATAGGGACAAATAAACAAATCGGGCCACTGAGATGGCTCAGCGGATAAAGGCACTTGTCACCAAGCCTGACAGCCTCAGTCCCATGCCGGGACTCACTTGCTAGAAAGGAAGGACCAATTCCCACAGGTTGTCCTCCACTGCTATGTGTGTTGAGGCACATACACATATACACAGTAAGTACATAAACAAACAAATGTACTAAAAACAATAACAGTAAAGGAATATCTCACACACACAAAACAAGAGAGGATAGAGTTAAAAATGAACAGATGGCCCAACACAATAGACCAATACAAAGTGGTTAGGAAAGAAGAGTTCTTATGTGGGACAGCTGAAACTCACTCTGAGGCTTACTTTTATTTCAAGACCAATTCCTTGAATTCCTAGTATTTATCTCCTAAAAAATAAATGTAATACTATAGATATCTTCAAACCCATGTTTGCTGCAGTAGAATTCACAATGAGCTAATTAGGAATCAGCCTACATGCTCCTCAACAGATGAACGGATAAAGAAAACGTGGCATGTATGCACAATGGACTATTCAATCACCTATTCAAGAAATTAAAATTATGTTGTTTACAGGAAAATGGATGGAACTGGAGATCACTGTGCACGATAAGCCAGTCTCACAAAGTCAAGTGTGATGATCGTTAATCATTGTCAGCTCAACCGGACTGAGAACTCACTGCTGCAAAACACCTCTGGCTGTGGGCGAGGGTATTTCCAGAAGGTTTGACTGAGACTGGAAAACGAACCTGAATGTGGGCAGCGCCATTCTAGGAACCAGGGTCCTGGGATGAATGAACAGGAGAAGGCTAGCTAAGCAGCACATTCATCGTCCCCCATGCTGCTTCCCCTACCCCCACCTGCTGCAGATGTCACATGACCAGCTGCCTCACATTTCTGATGCTATGCCTTTCCTCACTGTGATGGGCTATGTCCTCTCAAACTAAGCCAAAGCAAACCGTTCCTCAGTACTCCTTGATCACAGCAACTAGAAAAGCAGCAACACAATAAGTATTGTGTATTTTCTATCACGTGTAGAATTGGGGAGTCTGGCTAGGGTCATCTGGGATAAAAGGACCCTCAATTGAGGAAGTGCCTCCATGTGACTGTAAGTATGTTCTTCATTAATGGTCAATGGAGGGGCAGCAGCCCACTCTGGGCAGCGTCACCTCCAGAGAAGGTGGTCTTATGCCCTATACAAAAGCAGACTAATCCAGCATTGGGAGCAAACTGGTAAGCAGCATTCTTCATGGCCTCTGCTCCGGTTCTTGCCTCCAGATTCCTACTTCAAGTTCCTACCCCAACTTCCCTCCAGGATAGACTGTAAACTTTAAGATGAAGTGAACCCTTTCCTCCCCAGATTGCTTTTGATCATGGTGTTTATCACCATGGGCTAGAACAGGTGGGCAGGGACGTAGAACAGGATATGAGGGGTGAAGGAACAAGAACGCGAAACAGAACAGGTGAGCATACATATAAGAGTTATGGAAATCTTATAATGAAACCATTTCTTTGTGTGATTTATATTCTGATAAAAGTAAAATGAATGTATGAAGCTGAAAGATATATATGAATACATATATATTAGGTCTGACCACATTTTCTTTGTTAATCATCTTATCAGCCCACAGATACTAGGATTTTTGTTTTAATAACAGATTTTGAAGGGCATGGATTCACAAAAATCAGTAAAACAAACAAACAAAACATGGAATTATGTCCTATTTAGCCAGGATATTTGCTCTGAATTTTCTGTTTCCTCAGGAAAGATAGAAGTAAGATTTTTGAAGAGGAAAAGTAGGGTCTATACATTTTTATTACATTAAAAACTACAAGTTTGTGCTTAAAAATAAAAAAGTAAAATATTTAGCACCATCGCAAGTAAAGCAATATAGAATTAAAAAAAGAGGTTTCAGTGATCTCTTTTTCTAATGCTATAAGCCAGCAGTGCCCAACCTGTGGATCGTGACTCTTTCGGGGTTCACATATCAAATATCCTGTATATCAGGTACATCATGATTCATAACAGTAGCAAAATTACAGTTATGAAATAGCAGCAAAATAATTGTATGATTGGGGTCAGCACAACATGAGGGCCACAGCATTAGGAAGGTTGAGAACCACTGCTTAAGCAAAAGAAAAATATTTCTTCTGTACGGAGACTTCCCGCCTACTGAGTACAGTTAGAAATGTAGTTGTATAACAGATGTTTTACATCCCTCTCCCCAGAATACCATTTGTTATTTTCTCATCTTCACAAAGGAGTGGATGTCCTTGTGATCACAGGCATCAGAGATTTTGGAGTAGAGATCCAGTCAATCGCTAACTAATCTGAACACTTAGAGCAAATCCACTAGGTTCTTAGCTGCTCTTTGCTCCCATATCTTGGGCTAGGACTGGTACGTGGGGAAGTTATCTGCTCATATTAGCCTTCCTGGCATGGCAGGTCTGTGAACGCCGGTGTAGGATGGCAGAAGTGATGTCATACCCTCCCCTGCTGAACACATTCTTGGCTGAGGCTTGGTACCAATCACATGTCTGATCAGAGGTTCTGCCAGAATCCTCAGGACAAGCTGCAGCTACTTAGGTGTCTCTTGCTCTAGGGAGCTATCAGTGTTTGAGAAGGAAACACACACACACACACACACACACACACACACACACACACACATACACTCACACAGACACATAAATAAAAATAAATCCTAATAAAAAAGAAAAAAAAGAAAAACCAGACAAAAATAAACAAACCAGAAAAACAAACAGTGTAAGACCAACCACAGCTGTTATGCTGGAAAAATACTTATGGAAATCACCTAAAGGCATGCCATAATTTGATGTTTTATGTATGCTTGAAAACCTTCTTGGTGCCAGGCAATGGTGACACACGCCTTTAATCCCAGCACTACGGAGGCAGAGGTAGGCAGATCTCTGTGAGTTTGAGGCCAGCCTGGTCTACAGAGTTCCAGAACAAGTTTCAAAGCCACACAGAGAAACCCTGTCTTGAAAAACAAACAAGCAAAAAACACCTTCTTGGTTTGGGGCAATAATAGTGAATCTCTATGATGCTCTCCCTGAACCTGTTCCCATTTCCTCACCTCACTTTGAAGCACAAAGGATCCCTCATGGGGGTTTTCACTAATGACGGGGACTCATTAGATTTAAACAGCAGAAATGCTTGCACTCAACAGTGTCAGTGTGGGGTGTAACCTTGGTGGCAGGTGAGTGGAGAAGGCCGTCAACACCGTTCCTGGCTTAAGAACGAGACTGCAATGGAGTCTACGTACACGTGTAGTGCAGATCAGAGAGAACCCAGCTGTCGGCATTGCCTCCACATGAACAGAAGACTCAGGTCAGGGCATTGCAGAAGCAAACCCCAGGACATGGGAAAGAGGTGGAAATTTTTAATAAATAAATAAAAATAAATAAATAAATAAACCCAAACCCCAGGACAGGCTTGAAAAAGGTAGAAACTTAACTGCCCTCCTCTTGGCTCTCACTAATCTGTTGGCAGAACACGGGAGATATAATGGCTGAAAGGACTGGGATACAATCTCTGTTAAGTCATTAAATAATGTCACGTTTTCAGACACAGGGGTCATTGTCAGGAGAAAATTTTAATGAAGAAAAGATTTAAGAAGGTAAAGTGCAGTGCCATACAACTGTTTTCTCAGCACTTGAAAGGCAGAGGCAGGAGGATCACTAGAGTCCAGGTATTTGACATTGTCCTGGATAATCTTAGTAAGAGCCCATCTCAGGAAACAAACCAAAAATAGGTCTAAAAATGAAGCAGAAACGAGAGCTCGCTCAGCAGTTAAGAGCATTGATTATTCTCCCAGAGAACCTGGGTTTGATTCTCAGCACCCACATGTGACTCTCAGCCATCTCTAACTCCAGTTCCAGGGGGTCTTGTGTCCTTTTCTGGCCTCCATGGGC